TAGACTTCACTTTCCTCAATTTACCTGTTCATTTCATTATATTGTTCTTCATTCCTGTCGTGACTTTCACTGATATCTTGATTTTTTACACCGTCCATGGTTGTAATGAAGTTATCATCACCTTCAAATTCATCATCTGCACACCCATATTATTTATGACCATATTTGCCACAATTTTTACATTTCCAGCCGTTAGTACAGTCCCTTGTTGTATGTCCTTCAGTAAAGCATTAACCACACTTCGTATTTTGTCTATTTGGGGAGGCATGACCATAGTGCCGTATATTAGCCCAATATTTTCGAATCTGTAGCGACTTTGGTAGAGGTGAATCAAAAGGTTTGCATATCACGATGCGATCACCTGTTCTATAGTTAGTTAGAAGATTGTCGATTCTTAGTCTTTCTTTGTAAAAGTTAATAACTTCACATTTTCTAACTGAGGTTTCAAGTGTTCTTATTATCTGGTCATCATCTGCAGATAGGGCACATATTTCACCCGTACTTTCATTGTGTCTTGTTGTTCTTTGAGTATGATTTTATGGTTTCTAGAGTATAGAGTTATGGATTTTCTCCTGATAGTTACCCCCGTGGACAGTGGATCTTTTCTAGCAAACTCGTTGTCAAAACATAATCGCCAGATGCCACGAACTCTCTGCAAACCAATCAACGATCTTACCGGTACTTGGTCATTAATTGCTTTGTAAACTTTAGAATCTGCTTGTATCAGAAAGGAGCGATTTCCCCTAGAATCTACAGGATTTTCCCCATAAACGTCTTCTTCAAGGAGAAAGATTGATTTTGCTTGACCTATTTTTTATATTCACCTTGCTTCTTGTTGCTGTTGTCACCACTAGCTGCTTTTGCATAGGAGGCTTCCATGTTTTTCCTTCGTCTGGATTTTATTTATCCGTAAACATCAATATTTTTTATGTATTGTCTTACAAAATTGGAAAATCTTCGTCTTGAATTATTGGAATTTCTATCGTTTTCAACTTATACCTACTTAGTATTTTATACCATATATCAATATTTGTCTTTAGAAAAATACATTTTTTCAACGGAGCTATGAAACACCATTTACCTTAGTGCAAGGGCCATAACTCTTCTAATTCAGTAGGCAGTACTTCGATTCGGTACTGACATGATTTATAACAAACCTGTCTAAAATTTGGCTTTAGCGTTCCTGGTGAAATTAAAATCAGAAAAGCGCTTCGGATGCATGGAACTGTTGTTTCATTTTGTATAGATTATATTTTATTATTTAACAGGAAAAATAAGTCAGTGATCAGTACAATGGACATTCAAGTTTGCATCATTCAATTTGAATAAAAGAAGAGAGGAATAAGACTAACAGACATTAATTAATCAAATGACAAAAAACAAAGCAAATAACATATAATATTTCAAGCTGTGAAACGTCAGGAGGCTTTTTCTAAAATGTGAATTAAGTTATCAAAGGTCTGCGGTAAATTATATGAAGGTATGTTATATATTTTTTTAGCACACGTCAGGCTGGGGTACTGTTTTGACAAAAAATGGCTGTCATTTATTTAAACATAAGACTAAATGGTTTTGAATGATGAAAATTGACGAATTTGTATGAAAGGCCATTCTGGTTACAATGTAAATTTTTACACGCTCGCCAGAGAAACGCGTGAAATTTTGTTAGCGTACCCCAGATCAACGTGTTGCTGTTGGATCGCATACCATAAAGCAACACGTAATAGTTTGTTCGGGTACACTTTAGCAACGCGTTGTTGCTTCACAGAGAATGTGATTCGCATACCTGTAGGGAACGTGTATCACACGAAAACACGTCACCCATATTATGGACTAATGGACTTATCTACACCAGTAACTGTAATTAGATGCATATAAAATCAAATTGAGATTATAATTTCACCAAAATGGCGTCAGGCGACAGGTCAGCAGAAGATTTTCTAAATACTAATGTCTGAATACAACACTTTTTTGACAAAGGCACTAAATTTTTTATATCATGCAGAAATTACCTCGTATTTGTGTGATTTTTCTGAAATATGAAGCAAGGGCAAGTTTTATTTGTTATGACATATTTTTGAATTCCTAGATCAGAACAAATACAAACATACAATAAAAACGCGGTGCTCTAAGTATCGCAAAGGAACTGTAACACGTTTCTCTGTCTGAATACAACACTTTTTTGACAAAGGCACTAAATTTTTTATATCATGCAGAAATAACCTCGTATTTGTGTGATTTTTCTGAAATATGAAGCAAGGGCAAGTTTTATTTGTTATGACATATTTTTGAATTCCTAGATCAGAACAAATTCAAACATACAATAAAAACGCGGTGCTCTAAGTAACGCAAAGGAACTGTAACACGTTTCTCTATGCTAAGTGAACTAACTAGTACTCGTGTAACTCTATGGTACGCAAACCAACAGCAACATGAAGCTCAAGGGTATTCGAACCAACAGCAACGTGTTAGTCTAGGATACGCAAACAAACTGCAACTTACTGATCTATGCTACGCGAACAAACTGTAACACGTTTCTCTGCCGAACGTGTCAACAATAGCATTGTTACCCGAATGGCTCTTCTAAGTTTTACATCGAAAGCAATGAGATCATTAATTTTAGAGTTATATTTTCAAAACTTTTTGGAATTTTGCGCACTCAATGCCCTTCAACTTCGTACTTTATTTTGCCTTTTGACTTAAGCTTATGAGTCTGATGAGTCTTTTGCAGACAAAACGCGCGTCTTAGGCCAGGTATTTTTGATGATTAGGCCAGGTATTTTTGATGAGTTTGGTTTTATATCGAAAATCTTTTACAAATACCTGTATACGAAATAAACAGTTTTTGCACCTCTCTGCATTGCCGGTCGGATTTGATTGAATTGTATATTGTCCACTCAATAAGTTATGTAAAACTACCTGACATGATTTAATCATCTATACCTGGAATTGAATTTTGCAAAATAATTTACTGCTAATATTGTATTTTCCACTGCGACAGTAATCGAAAATGATCTAAATGACATCATTATAGATACCAGGCTAAGACCGCAAAAACATGTCGCTAATCAGTTGGGATACTGACACATCGTATTGGTCAACCTATTCGTGATTGTGACCGGAAAACTTAGGTAAAGTCGATTTCAAACATAATTTTGATGAGTGGTGTCCTATGTGCAATATTGTATGGACATTTTCTCCAACAATAAATATTTCTGAGGAAAAGAGTTCTGACGTAATCGGAATACCTGAGAACAAAAAACTATAATTGTAATATTTGGACATTTTAATAGTAAGTTTCATCAACGTTCTTAGAGTTAGTTGCTATTTCCATAGAATATATTTTGTTTGGAACAAAACACAATCCTTTTCAGAAATATGCATAGCTATATACGCCATACAAAACGATTCTTTGATTAATATTGCTGTATCTTAAATGTACTCGTACCCAACTGTTACTGTTTAAACATAATATATTTATTGTATATATTTTTCATATTGTACTGAATTATATAATTGCCGAATCTTGAAATTGTGTATATTGTACTTAATTGGAGAGGATTATGTTAAGTTGTTATAACTTGTATCCAATTATTATTTAGACAATAAAATATGTTTAAACTAAATGTACGGCTAATTGGTATGTTCCAGAGAGCCAATAGAAAAATAAAGTGTTGAAGTTGGTATTCCAGTACTTTATTCGCATAGCAACATTTTAAACCAATTTAACACAAAGCTCCTATAGCCTGTTGTACTCGTCGTTTGCTATTTTAGGAGGGAATGATAACATTATATGGACATTTTGTTTTCATCTTAATTTATATTTATTGTTACTATTTACCAGAACATTTTCTTTTGAATTCATAATTAATAGCGCCTTTGCTAAAACGGGAGAAACATTGAAAAGAGTTTTCAGTGTTTACAGGGGAGACACTAGATTTTCCACTGATACTTTTACTATTAAGGTATTGGTACAGATGTCGACATTTCAAAATTATATTACAATTTTAGTTTTTAAAATTTTTTTTTCAAATATTTACCAAAAAATAACAATATTAGCCAAATCAAATGGAATTAACCTTGATTGGTATATTTAAAAATTATACTTTGCATTTTGAACTTTTTATCTACTTTGTTTTCCTCATAAAATTTGACGTCTGACCATATAGTATTGAACACCGAAAAACTACGTTTGTCTGTTACTTATGTTTAACATTGTCTCTTTATAAACTGACAAGGTAATAAAGAAAAGCAGATCCAGCTTCTCAATTTACATAAGAATTGATGCATCGACGATAACCGATTTTTTTTTTCAATCCACACAAGTGTCAAAGTCCAAATGTTAAACAATAAAAAAAAAAAACTCATCAAAGATAAATTTCGTTTTTTTGTTGTTGTTTTTTTGTTTTTTTTTTTTGTAAAGAACTAAAGATTTCCGTGTTTCATTTTTTCCATAGCCTCTCTTTGGCGATCTTGTCTTTTTCTAACTTTCGTCCATATATTCTGCAGTATCATATACAATTGGTCTAGCAAATTTTATCCCAACTGAAGTTGGGGAAAGAGGAATAGTTATCTATCTAAAATATAAAATAATCTTTTTCATAAAATTTTACCCCTTCTGAAGAAGAGAAAAGAGGTATAGTTATCTATCTAAAATATATAATCATCTTTTCATAAAATTTTACCCATTCTGAAATAAGAAAATTTTGTAAGCCATACCTCCGTTTCGTCTACAAAACACTCACCGGTATCGCTCGAATCAAAACAGTTAAACAGACTAAATAAAGAACGAAGTTGGAGAGCACTGAAGACCCAAAATTCCGAAATGTTTCCATTGCAGTGTTAAGTCTTCATTCCAAGCTAGGATTTGTCCATTAAACTGCATTGACAAAGTGATGCTGTTTTAGGAGAAAATGGAATTCTTATGTAAATTGCATTTTGACTTTTAAACAAATGAACTTGCAGATTTAAGCAGATGACCAAAGAATGTTTTACGTTACCTCTTAGGTATTTAAGCTCTTTTAAGATTTCTTCTAGCTCTCTTCTGTCATCTATATCCCCACGTTCCTTTAATTAAGATAAAAAAAATGTGTTTATTAATAAGATAGAATATTACTGCATTTCATTTCTAATTAAAAAAATAACATGTTTTCTCATTAAAATTCTTTTGCATTAAAAAATATACGATCCAATAATTGGACTGAAATAGTTTACTATCAATATTCAATTTGGTAGTTTCAATTTAACACTTTAATACATATGGTACTTTTCATTTTAAATTAATCATGTAGCCATGTCTGATTCGAATATTAATTTTTAAATGTTCAAATGAAGTGACAAGTTTTGTTTGTACCAATGTTGAATACATAGCATTTAACAGAACATGAAATGAATGGTTGTAGAGCAGGTAGTTTCTCTAATGAAAACAGTAAATACAGGATATAAAAACCAGGTGAAGTTCACAAGCAGTCAGTTGTTGTGCGTGTACACCTTAGAATTTTTGTTATTTTACCATGAAATTGGCTAAAAGTGTACCGATACTTACAAAATCAGTTTTGAGCTTTTGGGAGAAAAAAAAGTAATAATTTGAAAATACAATTACGAGACGATTTCTATATCAGGAATTCATATTACATACAATACAATATTTTACAAAAACGTGTAAAATTTGTAATGTATGAAAACTGTCTTCAAATACAATGTATACATGTAGTACTGCAAAACATTTTTATCATATTGTTTATATAGAAATATATGTAAATCAAGTATATTTTTCCAATAAGTATAATTACTTTAAGACTTTGACCCCGTTAGTGAAACAAATATAGGAGAAATGGTCATAATTGCCTTCCACAGTCAGGAGCTTTTAATGCAATTGTTGTCTGTCTTATTGTTTTTACTGTTGTTTTTAGCATACATCAGTTAGTTTTCTCGGTTGAATTGTTTCACATTTTATCATACCACGGCCTTTCATAGCTCACTATGAGGTATGGGTGTGTGCTTATTGTTGAAGGCCACACAATGCCCTATAGTTGCTAACCTCTTCGACCTTTGGTTTTTGATGGAAAGTTATCGCATTGACAACCATATCAATCTCATAATTTTTATATGCTTCTTCAAATATTCATGATATCTTGTTCTAATTTTCAGGATAAATAATGTTAGTTTTAACAAATACTTCAAAACGCGATTAAAAAACTATACACACCAGTTGCGCCCTCACTGTTGAAAAAAATGCATTTAAAAAAATAGATATTTCTAAAGACTTACCTGGAACGGTAGTGACTGTGTAAAACACAGGAGACCAAATAAAACAGTAACTAGCTTCAAATCCATATTGCTCTGTGTGGCGATTGCAGGACAGAATTGCGCTTTTATATATATGAGTCATGACGACAAGTAAGCAAGATCGTGTCACTGAGGCACGAGTTCATAACGATAATTTTCGTTTTGTTCTTTGATTTTTAAATGTTTAGAGACAATTATAAAGTTGTTCCTTTGTACTTTAAACCAACTATTATTTAAACATACGAAATGTAAGTTTGCAATCATATTGGACCAAAAACAAAAGGGAAATGAAGATTTGACAATGGAAATAAATAATTTCAACGTTTCTATCTATAATTATTCCAACAATGATTTTTGTCACAATATTGAGGAGACACGTTTTTTTTCAAATCTTTGTTTATAATTTATGTAATTATTATAATTGTATACCAAAGACGTACAATTGACGTAATTTGTTCTAGATATTTATAATGCTTTCATACAAGAACCCATTCAAGAAACAATGTTTTTTTTTCATTCGCTAGGCGAATAAAATTTCTTTTCAAGACTTCAAGACTAGTATTTATCTATTCTTAAAATACCACTCCTAAAATTATAAATATATTTAATTACACCGAAAATAAATTAAACATTGGAATATTAATTCCATTATTTTTTGTATAGACGATAGCAAAATCAGTTGCATTGAATAAAGCGCACTTATCAACCGTTTTTGTGAAGGTAAAAAGGTCAAAACCAATTTGGGAAAAAAACAACGGCATATATAAAAATGACAAAAAGACAAACAATAGTATACAAAACACAACATAGGAAACTAAAGACTGAGCAACATGAACCCCACCAAAATCAGGGGGTTGTCTCAGGTGTTCCAGAAGGGTAAGCAGATTCTGCTCCACATGTGACACACGTCTTGTTGCTAATATAAGTACAAACCCGGTGATAAGTATACTTCGGTAGGTCACATTCGGGGAAAGGGGGTACGGGATTGTGGTTACGACGATTGGAACATATCCGTCGTCATCTGTGAAACAGATATTTCATAACGATAAAACAACTCGTGATGGTGTCCGTAAAATTTTTCGAAGGAATGATTTCAACCTCTTGGTTTAATAGCTTCTTTGTGATCAGCAAACCTCTATCAAGGAAATCATGATAGGAAACGCAAGCCCTGGAATATCGTATCAACTTGGAGATAAATACTCCATATGCAGACGTTGGTTAAAATGTTCTATCAGTTTGTCAATGTCTGTAGGTCACTTAATTTGCATGACAGTTTCGTTAAAATTGTAAATTGATACTTTTATCAAATTGTGTTCAAAGTTTTAAGCTTCTTACAGTTTTTTTCAAGCAGAAGGAATTAACAAATAGAAAAATTACAAATTTCTCTTTAAAAGTCGGGATACATCTATATTTTTACTTCATGTTTAAAACATATTTGTGGAATGTCATATAATATATCGGCTTCACGGTTATTAGGAAAAGTTATCTTTTCCCAACTTTCCATCAATAAAATTAAATAAATCCACATAAAACTTTGAACATCACAAGGTTCGGACCGTCCCTATAACGGTGAGCATGCCTCTTTTTAAAATGTCAAGCATCAGTGATTTCTTTTTTTATTGACATTGCTTTAATAAATCTTCAATCTTGGACTAAAACATAATTATTGGTCCTAACCTAAATCGGGAATGTTTTGAGTGACGAAAAATACCAAAATAACTTCCGTCTAATTACTGCAAATTTGAAAAACGTTTTAAGAGAAATGTGGGTATACGTCAATGCGGCAGACATCCAACTTAAAAAACAACCAACAGACATCTAGAGGGCAACATACAGTCTACAACAATATGCAGGTGTTTGTACAATATGTCAAGCTCTAAATCATCATGAGTTTATAACAATTGCGAATTAATTTAACAAAACAATAAAAGCTCTGTCATTACACACTCAATAAAAAATAACACTAAATGATGAAAATAATACTTTATAAAATTGATGTATCAAAAAAGCTCTGATGAGCTTCCAGACTTGTGACAGACACGTGAAAATAACGTTAATAATGCTTTCTATCTATCTGATGAGTTTAACTTTTTTCCACTGTTCTTATGTTGTGCTGTTGCACCACTGTCTTAGGTTAGGGGAGGGTTGTGCGCTCATTAACATGTTTAACACCGCAACATTCTGTATGTGCCTTCATTGTTGAAGGCCGTACAGTGACATCTAGTTGCTAACATCTACGTCATTTCGTTTCTGGTGTATAGTTGTCTTATGCAACATATTTGTGAAATGTCATATTAGTTACATAGTGTGCAAGTGACCTAATACGATATATATGGGGTCAGTAAATTCCATATGGGGTAAGAGCAAAGCTCGAATCCCCATATGGAATTTACTGACCCCATATATATCGGTTTAGGTCACTAGCACACTTTGTAACGAATTTATCTTACCGATTATCTTAACATGTGGTATTTAGGCTAGTGGCCTATCAAAGTGATCAAGTCTTCAATACCGTTAGTATTAAGAACCTACTTTCATTGGTCTATACAAAAACAAATTCAAACAATAACAACTTGTTAGCTTTAAATGTGTTTTATGAATTTATTTCAATCGTTCGTCATCAATTTCTTCGTCTGTTGAAACCTTTTAGATTTTTCCTCAACACCGTGTTGTTTTTATAAAGGGAAGTAACACCAATACTAACCGTGTATTGAAATAAACCCCGCCTACTAACCCAATATGGAATATACACCGTATCCACACGGTTGCTTTTAACCAATCATATTCCTAGAAATGTATAGGAGGTAAGATAATATAACATATCGGCTTCCAGGTTATTAGGAAGAGTTAATATAATTATCTTCTTCCAATTTTACATAAATCAATTTAAAAAAAATCCTCATAAAACTTTAAATATCACAAGGTTCCTCTAACAGCTTGCATGCCTCTTTTTAAAATATCAAGCGCAACATTCTGTATGTGCCTGTCCCAGTGGTTGTCGTTGGTCGCTGTCTATCATACTAGTTTTCGTTTATTGTTTTGTACATAAATCAGGCCGTTGTTTTTTTCTTTTTCTTTTTCGATTGATTTTTACATTTTGTTATTTCGGGGCATGTTATAAAAAAAACCCACTTCTTTTTAAATAATAATCTAAACATATTTAAGGAAAACATTCATTCCATTTTACTGTACTATTTGACACACAAACGATTTAGTTTCAAATATATCATGATTTATTTGATTGTGACCATTATGGATTCAAAATGTGTTGTTTTTTTTTTGTTGTTGTTGGAAATGATCTTGTACAAAGCCCAATACAAACTATATAGAAAAACAGACGAAACTCTTTAGTTTGCTTTAATCTATAAATTAGATAATTAATATTTATAAATCAAATATCACAAAAAAATGCTGGATGTGAAATACCCCTTTTTTTAAATTCTGTCTGTGGAATCTTACTTCATCAATTAGTAAATTCGGTATTTAACTTATGATATATAACTTTATTAAGTAAATATTTTAGCAACTTAAGCTTTCATAATACACAATTTGTCAACTGCAAGCAAGATAGCAACTAATGAACTAGGCCATATTTAGTTCGCCCACCGTCGATTTGACAATATGTAAATTAAAGTTCAGGACAGGAAAAACAAGTCAATGATTTTGTCTCATATATGTAGTGAAAGGATTAGATTGTTTTCCTCTTTATAAGAACAGCGTATCCAATATCCACCGCTAATGCACATATTGCATGTCATCCTGGACAATAACTCAAACATATTTATGGGGGGTCATTTGAATGCAAATTTCCGAAAAATTAATTTTTCAAGGGATATAACTTCTCTAAAAATAGTTGATAAGCACTGGTTTTTTAAATTATCCGATACGTTGCTGATATTCACCTTTGATACAAATGCCATACAAATCTGGCAAGAATTTTTAGCGTGAGTACCCTTGAATTTGTTTCACACAAAGGCATTTTAAAAAAGTCTTGTAATCTTCACTTATTAATAAATTAATAAATTTGTTTGTGGTATCCAAATGTATATAATATAAAGTTCTAACAATATTCTGACAAATGTCTAAACAGGTCATCAAGTTATAAACGTCTGAAAAACCCCCAAAGTCTCAATTTTGAGAGATTTTGGTATTTGTTTTAGTATTTATCCCAAAAATGTACAAGTACGACATTAACCAAAACCATAATTTTGTTGGAAGTAAAGCTGTGTATTGACTTTCGGATACAATTTAATTCATTTTGGTTAGCGATATCCTTCGATGCAAAATTTGACAAAAGCCTGCAAAATTTACTTTGACAAAAACATTTGTATCAATATGCCTTCAACAGCAACACATATCGCTGAATTACTTTTTGGTTTTAAGGAAATATGTAAAATGGTGAAATGATATTTTAAGTATGTTATGGTATACATTCTATAATATCAATTTCCAGTAGAATTTTACAACTTTTAGATTTTGAACCTGTGAATGAAACAAATTAAGGGGAAACTTGCCCCTACTTCTTGGATTTTTCAATCGATTACATAAGGAAGACGGGGGTATGATTCTCGCATGATAAATGATGCACAAAAAGCCATTGAAAATATTGTTTCTTTATTCTAAAAAAAACATTGACAGGACGAGTGCCACAAGTGAAAGCAGGAACTGATTACCTTCCCGGAGTACAATATTTAACCGGGTTTTTGCTGCTGAGTCTTTAGTTTTCGGTGTAGTGCTGTGTACACTGTTGTTTGTCTTTTCGTCTGTCGGCCATGGTATGTCTATCTTTTTTCTTCAACTAATGGTTTTTAATTACCTCTTGATATCGTCTTTTTTTTTATGACAGGTTCTTCTACCTTTTTATGACATATGAAGGTTACTGATCACTAATCGGAATCGTGCACGAACTAAACAAAGCAGAAGTAACAAGAATGGTGAAGAGACCGAAAAAGACACTATTAAGAAATTAAGCTATGGGCTAGACCAATTTTTTGAAGATCAGAAATAATACCTTGGTTTGGAAAAGGATAAGAATATGTTGATATGAGCTTGACCCTTAACGGGTCCTATTCAAAAAGGTTTGAATTGTGTGAAAGGATTTGAAGATCTAAACGGACAAATGT